CACTGAATTCGAATGCCAGTACCTTCTCGCCTGGTATTGGAGACAGCACAAGGGGTATGGTAAGTCATTAAGTGTTTGCAGCAAGTTTAATTGAACACATACTGTCTGAAAAGGATGAGTGCTACTTAAAACTACAAGTTAGTTTGGTAATGGGTTTTCAGCTAGGAAAGTGTTAAGAGTAATTCAATATCTGGAAAGCCTGTTGCTGACTTTGAGCCCCTGGAGTATGGAAAGGTATTTTATAAGTGCAAAAAGGTTAAGCTCATTAGACATCTAGGACACAAAGCCTAAACGGTACTGCCTGTGATACCCTGCGCTTACACACAGCTTCCGAATAGGGCCGGGGTGCTGCTGCCACCTACCGCGCCGCACCGCGGCGGGAGCTGCTCCAGGGCCCGAGCTCGTCCCCAGAGTCCTGGAGGGGCCCACGGCTCCTGCACCTAGCACCTGTCCCAGCAGCACGGGGACTTTCCTGGTGAAGTTTCAGTAATTGTTCAAAAGCCAACTAGTGACCACTGCCACGAGGCAGAATTCTCAGGTTTGGTTAATGGCTAGGGCTAAAGGCTGCCGGGCCAGGCTAGTTCCAGTGACAGGAGTACTGCATGATTGTGTCAACTTACTTATTCAGAGATTTAGGTGGGAACTCGAACTCTCCTACGGAGATGGTATCAACTGCATTGAGTGATATTCTTGTCACGTGCTGGCACTGCAGGCTAATGAAGTCATATTTACAGATCAAGAGGGACCAATCTGTGATGAGAACTAGGCGCTCCTTCTCGTTGTTCCAGTGATCGATCCTGGGAAGAGAACAAGGCTGTGAGCTTGAGCGGTTTTCCTGTCTGTCTGGAACCCTTTAACAGCTTGACAAGTGGAAGCGCCGCTAAGGAGAACAAACGTGAGTCTTAAAAACGCTGCATTTCCCATTGCAGCCTTTGCTTTGGATCAGCCAGTCTAGTACAGGGTTGAGTGTGCAACACAACAATAGGAAAATACTAAGGACACTAGAACGAGTCTGAGGGTGAGAGCAAGCTCTAAAGCAGCTACCTCATGTTACTGGAGCCCAAACGCTGCAGCTATTCAGTGTTAAATGGAGCAGATGGCAATTTTCAACTGATACTGTGCCATTAGCTTGATAACACTTCAGTGTTTAAAAACCATATTTGTTCATTTTGGGGGAGAAAGCCTTGCAGCAGCAGTTTGTTTCTGCTGTGTAAGGCTTGCACCCTGGCTGCAGCACCCCTCGGGGTCGGTTGATGTTGCTTTCCAAAGCGCCCCTGCAGCCGGTGCTCCTGCTCCAGCCGCCTTCCCCAACCGGGGAGGCTCCGGGGGAGCGGCGCGGCCTCCCCGGGACCC